TATGCAGGGCCTCCCTGCTCTTCCCCCCACACCCTCTTTCCAACTCCTGCATGGAGCTAAAGCCTAGACTTGGGGGTCAGCGGAGGGCCATAACTGCGGGGGCAGGTCCAGGCATGGCGCAGTGCTGGCCAGGAGGACACCAACCTCACTGGGATTCGGATCCCCATGAAGAGCATTTCCGTTAGAAACAGTCTCCTATTTTGACACAGAGGGCACGCCAAGGAAAAAGTGCCAGCAGTCATAGCCTGTCCCTACAGGAGAAACAGAAAGAGCGTGAGTGAGGCTCTGGTGCTGCTGAGAGCCTGCCGTGCCCGGAGCAAGGGAACGGCTCCTACCTGGATGCAGGCCCTGTGGAACCAGGCGTGTTTGCATGCTGGGCACACCATGGTCCCATAGGTGGTTCTGCCCTCAACAGGGTCCTTGCAGATGATGCAGTTGGTGTCCTCTGGAGCCGCCAGCTCTTGCTGCTGTGGGCGGTGCTCCCAGCAGGAGGAACTAGGGGAAGAGGGAAGGGATGGGTGAGATGAGAAGCGGTGGGTCCTTCCTTGGTGATGGGGAGAAGGGTAGAGGGGATACCTGTACGGCAGGAGGTAACAGGTGACGCATTCACCCTCCACGGCACAGGGGAGATGGAACCTGCGGTTGCAGCCTACTGCCTGGCAGGTGATGGTGGCCCCCCTCTTGCCACACACAAAGCAGACCTGGAAAGAGCAGAGCAGCCCCCATCAGCGGCAGCTGCAGGGTCTCCACAGCCAGACCCACACCTCGGGGCAGGGCACAGGATGGGGCCCCAGCTGGATCGCGGGCCACAGGTCCAACTGACAGAGCAGGCTCTTGTGCTGGAGCCTCTGTGGAGCTGCTGGGAGCAAGACTTCTGTCCCAGAGCTGGGTGGAAAGGCTGCTATTCTGTTCTTGGCATCTGCGCCAAGCTCCCGCAAACCTCTCCTGGCACGAATCGCCCTGATCATCTCTGATCCTCACCCTCTGGACTGCCTGATAGACTGCACGTTCAATATCCGCAGAATCAGATGTCACCTCATCTTCCTGTTGGGGCCCTTTTGGATGAATGTCATTGGCAAAAAGCTGCAGAAGAGCAGAGACAAGGAGCAGATGAGGGGCATGTGGCAGGGCAGGTGCGTTGCAAAGATGAAAGCAGCCCCAGAGGAACTCACCACGCAAAAGTGATGGACCCAGAACCATTCATTACGCAGTTTTAGCCCGCAGATGTCCGTGTCTGCATCTGACCGGTGACAGAGCACGCATGCTGGACGGGAGAGAGCAAATGCCACTGAGAATGAGCACCTCTGCGGGGCCAGGGATGCGTCCCTGAGGGACTGCCCCCAAGGGCTGCTCTGTCCCTGCCTAGCTGGCTGCTGAGCAGGGCTGGAAGCCTTGGGGAGGAAAGGGCACTGCGCGCACGGGTGTCCCGGAGGGTGCGCACTGCCCAGCCCTGGTCCCGCTTGCCGAGCAGAGGAGCCGCCCTCCCGCAGGGTGGCTTTGGAGCTCCTGCCTCCCCCTGCCAACGCCCCCGGTCCACGCCGACAGCCTCAGGAGTCCCTCTGCCAGGCTGCAGGAGGGGGACTTTGCTCTCACCCTGCTCCATCGAGTCGGGTGTCCTACAGCTCCTTGCGGACGTGTCAGGCATCAAAGGTGGGCGTTTGGAGAGTCCCTGTCCCAGCAGCGCTGGGGCTTCACCAAACGCTCCTCTGCTCCCTCTGAGCGAGAAGAGAGACGCGGGTGAGCTTGCAGCACAGGCCCAGAGCCCTGCGGTGTGGAGCGCCCTCCTCCCTCGGCAGGCCCCCAGGAGCCCTGTCCCTGCCCTCTACTCCCCGCACCTCACCGGGTCGCAGCGATGCACTGTGCCCAGCGTTCCCTTTTTTAAAGGCCTGCCCCCAGTGGCCTCTGTGACATCAGCACCGCTGGCCCGCGTGCGCCCCAAACACAGGCAGGGGCACCCTCGGCCACACACCACCCACCGTGACACGGCCACTGCATCACAGGGCTGGCGGGGAAGCGCACAGGCAGGGACCCGAGCCCTTGGCACCCAGGTCACCGGGGCGGCTGCTCCACCTGCAAGTGCAGACTCAAGCGCCAGCTTAGGGACTTGGTTTCCTGGTTAGCTTAACGGTTGGACTCCATGACCTTTACGGCCTTCTCCAACCTAAATGATTCCTGTGACTCTCATTACCATTCCACTATTACTTTATCACCATTTGCTTGCGCTGTGATTTTCCTTCAGTCGTCGATTCCTTACCATTTGGTCATCGCTTCGTCATGAAGAAAGCCCTTTTAATTAACCCACCAAGGATGACTTTCCTGAATAATTCACCTGCCACACCAGGACAAACACCAGACTGTGTCTGGAGCACAAGCAGAGTAGAAGAAAAGGAATGATGGAATAGTTTGGGTTGGATGGACCTTCAAAGGCCCACTTAGTGGCTGGTGTATTGTTTAACCATAGAGAATCTGCTGTTGGTTGTGGCAGTCATCAGGACTCCATTAAACTCATGCGGTGAGCGCAGCTAGAAGAGGCAGCCAACAGATGAGTAGTTTCTCTGCTTTCCGTTGAGATCTCAAACGCCGTTGACTCCTTTGAGACCTCACGCAGAACTAGTCTCGAGGAGCAACGACAGCATAGAAAGATCTCGCCCCACCTATACCACCCAAAGAGACCTTTCGCTGCCCTTTTTGCAACCCAATTTGCCTATCTCACACTGGCCTTTTTAGTCATCAGCGCGCTTGTAGTAAGCGTGGGTAAAGCCCTTCCCAAATCTTCGATCGCGAGGTCAGGCCATGATGATGATGATAGGTAAGAGGAGATGGAGATGTATAGCATATGACTTACCATATTAACATAGTACAGTCAGATGAAACGTTTTGCAGAAGAAAAGCAGTTTAGTTGCACCTTTGTAAATTATACTCTGAAAACTGAACAAGCAATCACTTTCAAAATGGATCTTTAATAAAAGCACTGTGTATGATAGTTGTTTCTCCTACTTCTTGCATGAAGTGGATACTGATTATTTTTCCTATAAAAGCAGAAAAGAATTATGTGACTGTATCAAAATTCCCATTAGATTAGCAGAAGGTTCACTGAAATATGGGTTAAACAATCATGACTTAAGTCTCATCTCTCCCTCTCACTGGTCTTTCAGGGGCAGTGATGGATGGAACATCATGCTGAAAGTCAGAAGACAAGTTCTGTTCCCAATTTTGCAAAGTGATCCCAGCCAAGACACCTGTCCTGTTAAAATGTTATGGTCTTCACAATGTAACAGTACATTCCTATGACTTTAAAATCCACAAGACATGAAAAATCTGCTAATTTAGAGAGATCACAAACTAGAAGGGACCTGGTACTTTTTCTAGCATGAAAGAATCAGTGAACTGACCAACAAATTGCATGTAATTACCCACCTGAGTTAAGAAAACACACTCTCACAAACAAAACCCACAACTCTGAGTCCAAATTTGTCTACCTTCATGTGCCTTTGTAGGCTGCCATCCCCATTAGTAGCAGTAAATGCCTACTATAGACCTTACAAGGAGGTGAAGAGGTCCCTGGGGATAGGAATCTTAGAAGCACAGAGTAGTTTGGGTTGGAAGGGAATAGTCCTTTGCTCTTCAAATACAGCCAATAAGATTTAATGAAATGGGATATTTAGTGATTAACAGGCTTAGCAGATGAAGCGAATTTCACCCTTTGTCTCTGAGGTATTCCCTGATTGTCTCATTAGCTGAATACCTCCAACCAAGAGAGAAGGAAAAGTGGGCATGAGTGAGAAAGGCTGCATGTACTATACACATGTAGAAGACTACAAAGGAAGAAGTTAGTGTGAAAAAAAAGCAAGGGTAAAATGACTGAAACAAGCCAGGAAGGAGTACAGTATCATTCTTTTCTTGCTCTGTGCTCCCTGCTCCCAGACTGTGGCTGGGTTGCCGAGTGGTCCTTCCAGCAAACATCAGGGAAGTTAAAATCCCCCACGACGACCACGGCCTGTGACTGTGAGGCCGCTCTCAGCTGCCTGTAGAAGGCCTCGTCAGCTTCCTCACCCTGATCTGGGGGTCTGTAACAGACACCCACAACAGTATTGCACCTGCCAGCCTGCCCCTTAATTCTCACCCACAGACTCTCAACTCGCTCGTCCTCTGTCCCTGGACAGAACTCGGTGCATTGTAGTTGCTCCCGTACATAAAGAGCAACCCCACCACCCCGCCTGGCTGGCCTGTCTTTCCTGAAAAGGACATAGCCCTCCATGACTATATTCCAGTCATGTGAGCTGTCCCACCATGTCTCTGTAATTGCCACCAGAACACAGTCTCCTGACTTAACACAGGTTTCCAACTCCTCCTGCTTATTTCCCGTGCTGCGCGCATTGGTGTACATTGATCCCTTCCTAACAGCAAAATTCTATTTTGCTGTCATAAACAATTACAAATATACATCTATGAAAACATCCCCCATTTGAGGGGCATAATTTGTTTTAGACAGTAAGTCACTCAGGCATCATCCTTTGGGCAGCCAAATACACCGGTCAGATTTATGAGTGTTCACACTGAATTCTCCAGAGTTGAAGAAAAATGTAGGTATCTACCCTGTTTCTTAAGACAACTGATAAGAAAAAAGGGCATTTGAAAAAAACCAAGGTATTTGTTTTATTCTACTGTTGTTGACTTTCCAGTTTCAGCTGAGTTCTTTGCCATTTACTAAGCAAATACCATTAATAAACAAAAACCTGTAACATTTTAGGTGACGACAAAAGTCTTTACACAGGAAATCATAATGAGATTTCATTTAAAGCTAAATCTGAAATTTTTCTTTGTAAGAGAAATATCACTTACATAAGCCTAATTGTGCTTCTGAACAAGAATGTTTAGTCTTTGCATTCTTTCTTCCATAGGTTTGCCATCCCCACTAGCATAAATTACTTATTTTAAACAAAAAAGATGCATTTTTTGAGTTAATCTGTATCACGTCAGAACATTAGGAAACTGCAAATAATACTGCATGGAAAACTCTACCAGCTTGAGCTAAGAATAGTAAAAATAACTTGGAACCAAAATGCTGCAGTATACAAAACTATGAAAAGGCAGCACCAGCACTGCAGAAAGAGCATTTCAAAATGTCTTTCTACCCAGGACCTTTTCATTGTCTTCATAAATTCCTACCTCCAATTTGTTGAAGATCTAGTGTGCTTTTCCAGCTGTTGGCTTCTAGGAATGATGGGGGGACTGAACATGTCCATCCAGTCCCTGAAAAATACAAATCAAAATATCATCCATAAAAACACAGTTTGTGTAACTATTACTTAAAAAACCCTTTCAAAGGTAAGTGCAGGTTGTCAAGTGTGATGGAACAAAATCAAGCTGGATTTTACTGTTATAAAAACAAACTTTACAGTTAATACTATAAATGTTAAGGTTTTCTTTCTTCTTTAGCCAATTTGAGCTGGGATTGCTCTCTCAGCAAAAAGTGTACATGAGGTGTGATCCATAATCCACAGAGCTATACTGTGAAAGACTCTAGGACTCATGAGAGTGTTTTTCCTGAGGAATAAAGATTTGGGATGAACAACCTGGTCTTGATTAGAGACTGATGGGGCCAATTTGATTAAAAACCCTTACCCTCTCTAAGGAAAAAGACTCACAGACAATCATAAAGAGATGTCTTTGGTTACCACTGACTTGGCACTGCTTGGAGACCTGCGTACCACGGTGACATGGCAGGTGGTGGATCATTCACAGTCTGGATGGTTGGTGACTTAGAGCAGAGCATAGATTTGAAATGGATGCCACCAGCAGTGCGCTACGAGCTCAGAGGTCATGAACTGTGGGACAGCCAATTTGTATTAAATAACTTAATCTTTCCAGTTTAATTTAACTTGAACATTTTTCAATGAAGGCATGGAATTAGTGGTCAGAGCTAAGAATAACATATTACCAGTTTGCTAGTGTTTTTCAGAAGGAAACACTGGATTGAGTCAGGATGTTATTGCTGACAGTATTCTTGATATTGGAAAAAAAGCTTTGCTAGGTAACTACACTATAAAGTGCTTATAACATATCTATATTGTTATAAAATACTATACGCTATAAATAAAAAAGCTGTTATCAAGCATAAGATGATTTTAGCTACTGACAAGGCCATATAGAGGATTCATCTCAGCTGTCACACATATATTTTGATTCTGTAGAGAAAAAAGCTTTATGAGATCTTTATCATAGATGAGGGAGTATGGACCTTCTTCACCTGTTCAGTTTAATAGGCAATTTATGTCTCTCCTCAACACTATTTTGTGACAGCTTTTAAAAATGATTTTCACGTAATCACACATTCATGCAAAGTTCAATGTTCATTTCACATACACTGTTTTATGATAGTCTGTGTTTGCTACAGCTCAAAGGGAAACAGAACAGTTTTTATTGTTATTATTACTGTAACTGCAGATTTTTTCACTGAAGGAACTCATACCACGTCTTGTAATTCTTTTCATATATGAAACCAGTCTCTGTACACTGTACATAGCTGATGCTTCCTTAAGTTCCCATCTCTCCTCATCAGCAGTAAAGAGCTATAACGCATTCAGGCTTTCATATAACCATTAACTAGACTAAATATTTGCAAATTAATACTTAAGCATAGAATTCAAGGGACCTCAATCAATCATCTCATTTTGATCAAACCAGGTCCTTCTTTGTTGACCAACCTATTTCAACTACAAGACAAGCAGAATGGAAAGGAAAAGGGCTCTTTAAATTCCTTTATGTTTGCTTCATGCTGGTGGGAACAGTGCAGCTCTACAGAGTAAATTAAACTTAAATTGGGGCTGCTTTGACTTACATCTGGCCATGGCTGTTCCAACAGCTGATACAAATAGATTACACATGCGAAGCTGGAGGCCAAGGAGATCAGCCACAGCTGAGGAGGTAACTTCAACATCCATGGCTTCTTCTAGAAGGCATGAGTTGTTCCAAAGCTTGACAGGTTTCTTTACATTGGTGGACTGTAATTGTCTCAACTCAACTGTCCTACACCCACTAAAGAGGTAACGTACTTCTCCTTTCTGAAAAGCCTTGATGATCTCATGTAAGATTTGCTTCTGACAAAGGAATCTGTCAAGGCTCAGCCATGTGTTATAATTGCTAAAATATGACAACTTTTATGTTAGTTTTTCTGCTACTTCTGGACTTGTTATTATCTCCTGCTGGCATACAGGCATAATCTGGAGTGAACAGGGGGACAACCACCAATCTGTTTGCAGTCAAAATGGAAAAAACTTACCTTCTGCCTCAGGAAACAGAACTGCTGGTGTAGAAATACAGCAAGTAGCATAGCAGATTTAAAGGAAGAGATACTGAATTTTCCATCATTTCAATAGGTAAAAAACATACTTCAGTATTTTTTTACACCAGCATATTCTTTTCACATATATGGTCAACTTCACAACCAATCCTTCTCTTCTGCTGTTCAGCTAATACCTGAGAACTGGTACAAATACTCCACACAGCAATATGCTTGCCTAGACATCTCATTATTAGCTCTCTCTGGCACTGCTCGCCATACCTGCATTCCCGGAATATGGCCAAAGACTCTTTGTTCACACCAAAGCTTCCAAAGTTTTTAGAAGTAACAGTTAAATGCATGCTTTGATATCCAGTGGCATGGTAGAATATATTTTCCATTTCTTCCACTGGCATGTGTGGTTTGTGCTGCCTCAGAATCAGCAAACATAAACCTAACACTAGAATCTGACCAAGCTCATAGCACGTGGTCAGAGAGCACGAAGCATTATCACTTATCTGATTCTCTACAATTGCACCGAAACATTAACATCAGCAATGGCAATGTCTTGGAGAAACTGAGGCAATTTTAGAGAAGGTAAGGAAGAACTGCTAGCACTAATCTCTGCTTCCCAAGCTACCCTTTCTTCCAAATTCACTACAGCTTTTAGTTTAGTGTTATCTATGAGACAGTCTAGATTCAGTTCATGGTTTTTTTCCCTCAAATGTCAAAAAAAATCTAATAGCTTTGCTATTCAAACCCCTCCCACCAAGAGAAGCAATCAAAACACTACAGTATTAGGGATTCATTGTTGACTTAGCATTACGTTTAAGATGGAAACATATTACACAATTTGCATTAAAACTAGGTTATTACTTCCACAAATTGGATACCAATGTCTAAATCAACTTCTCCTAAAATCTTGAGATAAAAACCCCCAGAACAAAACTTAATCTCATGTGTGCTGAAATATTCTCGGCCACACTGCAGTACACAGTAAACACTGGCACTTGACTGATAAACTTCTGAGAAGTGGTCTTACATTGATAATTCTGATAGATGGTGTAATCTAGCAGACCTTGCCTAAAAGTAGAGCCCAGCACGGGGACAACAGGCAATGTCCTGAGAACTGTGGCCTGCATTCCCATTTATGGCAGTTTTATACTGACTGAATAAAGAATACTGGTTTTGAGAACTTCCTGAAGAAGCTGTTTATCTCCTTAAACCAGCAAAGCTAATCACATATTCTGACTCATTAAACTCACTCCCTCCCTTTAAGCTATCAAAGCCTCCAGCTGTAATCAATATAATCAATGGGCAATAAACTATCCACAGCTTTCCTGATAGCAATGTGGAATGCCCAGGTATTGTCTTTTCACATTGTAAGCTGCATTGTATGAAGCCTTAGAATAGCTTCCACACACATTCAAAGTACCATGAACCTTTAATGCTTTCACTAAAATTCTTCATTATTCGGCAAGCTTTTCTCTATATCAAACCAGAATTTAAAATACTATAAAGTCTTGTAATATTATGATAATCTTGTTAAATAATGGTCATATATTGAAATACCGCATGTGATGGGAAGCAAAAGAATCTTGTGGACTTACGAACATGATTTTCAGTCTTACGACAGCATGTTATATTTTGCAAAAAACAGCACTGATCAGTAAAATCTGTTGAGAAAATTAGTGATGCCTTATTAAGTAGCACTTCTCAATGACAATGTATCTAAAGTATTGACATCAACAGAAATCCAAAGAATTAGAGGGGTTTGATTTAAATCTTAACCAATACCCTTGACATTCTGATTTTTTTACAGATATTTTTGTGCTTTAGTCTATCCTGCTGGCTGGACTGAGAAAATGGCAAATCATTTAGTATAAAGATTTGTAACATTGCCCTGAATTGAGATAGCATACTTAAATACATTTCTTTTGGATCAGATTTAATTTGTATTACTTAAATCAATGGGATCATTTAATCCACCTTATTAACAAAATTAAAATGCATCAACGTTTTAGTACGGTTTCACCCAACAATCTAAACAGGAATTAAAAGGAATATTCAAGTTATTCAGTCAGGCTGGCAGTATACTTAAAAAAAGCAGGGCAAGGGCTACATTATATCACAACAGGGAATGAAAAAACAACAGCAGTTTTGTACCATTAAGAACACATTGAATTGACAAGCTATTAAACATCTAAAAAATACAATCAATAAAGAACTGATGATTTTAACTGCATAAACTACTTAGTAAATCTTTATGAATATAACTGGCTTGTGCCTGAGTGACAATAAGAGGAACACATTTGCTGAATTATGCTTTACAATGGACAATTCGACCATCTCTGCAGAGGGCCAGAGAATGCCAATGTATGAATCAAGAGTATAAAAATATTTTAAGGAAAAAAGGAGTAATTCTTGACATCTCATGCAGCTATCAACTTAAAAATCTCAGCACATCCTTCTGCTGTATTAGTAACAGTTAACCCCACATAAAGCAAATTCTGCTGCAGATGCTCAAAGTGAGTAATTAAGTAATACCTTACCATTATCCACTGAATGCAAAGTGACAGATGGCATCAAAAGTATGGTTCAGTACAGCCTACATAATCAATTCAGTTAAGATGAAGATCTCTTTTTCTCACTTGTTTGGATTTTTAATTATATCTTTTTAAGGTTATCAGAAGCTAACTCATTTCTTAGATAGATCAATAAAAATTCACCTAGTTCTGTGAGACCCCTCTCCTATTCCCTGCTACATCTTTTTTGGAGTGTACATAACTTGTTAGGCTCCTCTAGATTAGCAGATCTGAATTTTTAGTTATTTACATATCTGCTGAGTTTCATGCATATGTGTAACTTCATTAACTTCAATCAGATTACCTATATACACCTGTTTGGATTCTGCTTTGTAATATATTAATCATCTATGCATAATGGGAGTGTGGGTTTTTTTTAATAGGAA